ATGTCCATCAACAGATGAATGGATAAAGAAGATGTAGCATATATATATACAATGGAATAATATGCAGCTATCAAAAAATGAAATCTTGCATTTACAATGACATGGATGTAACTAGAGAGTATTATGCTAAGCTAAATAAGTCAATCAGAGAAAGAAAATTATCGTATGATCTCTCTGATATGAGGAATTTGAGAGGCAGGGCAGGGGTTCGTGGGAGAAAGGAAGGGAAAAACATGAAACAAGATGGGAGTGGGGAGGGAGGCAAAGCATAAGAGACTCTTAATCTCAGGAAACAAACTGACTGTTGTTGGGGGTGTGGGGGGAGAAATAGTGTGGCTGGATTATGAACATTGGGGAGGGTATGAGTACTATGGTGAGTGCTGTGAATTGTGTAAGACTGAGGATTCACAGACCTGTACCCCTGAAGCAAATAATACATTATATGTTAATAAAATTTTAAAAAATGAAATTGGCTCTCAGGAGACAGTAGTGGAGAAAAGAGACAATAAACATGGCTAATAGGAATATATATAAATATCTAAGACATGTGCTAAAGTAAGAGGCAGGAGACCAGAGCTCAACATAAACAGAGGGTTGAGGGAGGTAACCTGCGTCAAATATCTTAGGAGATAATTAAAAAGGCTTGGCTAGAGATCAGGTAGGACAGAACAAAATTCTGAAGGTGCTGGGTACCCAGGTAGGAAGGCAATCTGCTATGCTTAGTACATCCAGAAAGAACTGCGTTTGCCTTAAACACTGAGGCTATGAGAGAATGGTGTATGTGTGAGCACGAGTGTGTGTACAGACAGCCAAAGCTGGGTTCTCTAAGCTAGCTCCTCTAACATGCAGACCTGTAGATTCCAAATGACTGTCTGATTACCTTGGAAACTTGAATTATTTACTACAGAGGAGGGGTGTTAAGTATTTTGAGGGTTATTATGGGTTGAGTTGTATCCTCCAAAAAAAAAAAATTGTTGAAGTGCTAACCCCCAGAACCTCAGAATGAAAACTTATTTGGAAATAGGGTTGCTACAGATATAATTAGTTGAGTTAAGGTGCGGTCATACTGGAGCATGGTGGGTGCCTAATCCAATATGATGGACGTCCTTATGAGAAGACAGCCCTGTTAAGGCAGAGGCACAGAGGGAGAGTGCAGATACTGGAGCTGTGCAGCCACAGGTCAAAGACCACCAGCAAACCAGCAGAAGCTAAGAAGAAGAGAGAAAGGATCTTGGAGGCTTCAGAAGCAGCACAGCCCTGCTGATGCCCTGATTTTGGACTTCTAGCTTCCAGAACTGGTAGATAATACATTTCTCTTGTTTTAAGCCACAGAGTTTGTACTATTTTTGCTATGGCAGCCTAAAAAATGAATACAGCGCTAACAGAGTTGGACCTCCAGGACAGAAGAGAACCTTCTTTACCTTCTTCAACACAAGATCAGCCTCATGGAAGTAGAGGAGGGTATCTGTTTGTACCAAGGGCACTTTAACTGGTGGCTACTGGAATGCTGGAGCCACTACTGCCTAGGCAAGGTTGTCCCCAAGTCAGTTTCTAACTACAAAGACGTGCAGGTTGCAGTGGGCAGTCTGGATTTTTGATGGCTTCACTTAGCTGCTGAACCAACAAACTCTGCAACTACCTACTTCTGTTCTTACACGAGAAACTAAATTTCCTATTGGTTAATTCATTTTGCTCAGGGTCATCTGTTAAATACATAGTTTCTATGTTGAATGTTTTCTTTCCTTCTTATATTCCCTGACATAGTATGAAGTACTAGCACACGAAGGACACCCCTAGAATTTTTCTTATTCTATATTGCTGAGTTGATACTGCTCTTACCCAGTATTTTTCAACTTTAGTCATATCCAGATGAGGCAGAGAGAGGGAATAAATGGAGAGTGCTGATGATCTGAGAGTCAATGCCTGCCGCAGCCTTGAGCTGCCCCAGTGAACTGTACGTTTGGACTGCTCATCAACATCTGATTGTGCTATGGTCACATTCCATTAGTTACCTGGTTTGTAGTATAGCCTATTTGAACTAAATATTGAAGTTACTCAAGCTGGTGAAATAAAAATGGAAATAAAATTGGGAAAAGAATAATTGGGTCCCATTTCTTAAAAATAAATGGTTCAAGGATCTATCAGCAGCATTTTCAAAGTAAAAGCACTGGTCACCTGTAATTTCATCCCACTGATATTGGCACTGCATGCATTGTTGTCATGTTTAATCTGAACACCACTTATTCACACTAGAGAAGTGAACACATATTAAGATCAATATACTATGCAGGCTGTCATATGAAGACAATGTTCATTTGAACCTCTGCTGATTATACTTTCAAGAACTGCTCTTGACCCAAAGCTTTGCTCACCAGGGAGGGTATAAATGTTTGTGGAATCCACCTGACAAATGGAAGATTGTTCCTGTGGACATTTTTATGGAGAGTTATGAAGCAAAAAGCAGCTTTGTTGGAAAGAGTAATTCTCCATTTAGAAAATAAAAACATGAGGATTGTGTAGGCTTAAGTTTCAAGAACCATAGCCTGGGACTGACAGCATACCCGGGCAGAAGCAGGCATCCTGAGAGAATCTTTGAGGCAGGCACAAGCCATCAGGCACTTGCTGCTGAAAGGCACCATCAAGGTCTCCATGCAGCCATCTGCCTGCTCCTCAATTTAACCACTCCAGCAGGTAGGATGCCATGCTGGCTTTTCCCTGCTGAGAACACAACCAGTTCCAGACAGTCTGGACAACAGAAGCTCGCCACAGATCACTATACTGTCCCTTCTATAAACATTCCCAAATATTTTATTCAACCTGGATGAAACTGAAAAGTCACAAACACCTCATGAGAAATGTAGAAAGTCAAGGGCAGGCTTCTCTTATTTACATTTTGTGATTCTGGAAACACTAACTTGCTGTGGGTTAGAACAAAAACACCATCTTCTGTGTTTTGTCACCCTAAATATGAGCTGAGTGGCCTCCATTATGCTTTAATAACAGATCAATCAAAATCTACAGAAAATATTGTTGATACCAGTAGTTGTAAAGCCTCCTCAAACTATCCTCCAAATTCATCTTCTCCTCTGGCTTCTTTTTTAACCAATATATTCATTTATTCAAGAGATGCTCACCGAGCCCCGAGTGTATCAAACACTATGTTGAGAGGAGGACATCGCAGAACCCTGCCGACAATTATAATAGGATGATCACAGTGTGCTAATGGGGGCTCTAAAGGCTGCAACAGAAACAGTGATAGGAGCCTCAGTGTCAGCCAGGGATTAAGGAAGGTTTAATACAAGGACAGAGGCATTTGTGCCAACACTTATTAAAGAGGAATGCTTCATGGTTCTGAGGGTTACTCCAGAAGATATAATAATGCATGGAAGGGTTTAAAGGAATGCTATATCAACATGGATTTGGGGTGAACTTGTTGTTCACTACTCTTGAGGCTTAAGAACAAGTAAATTGGGAATCAGTAACCTGAGAAGAGGGTAGATAGGTAGATACAAGTTAGAATACAAAAGGCATTGTTCACCATCTAAAGGAGTTTTGATTCTGTCCTACAGTGTTTCTCAAAGGGGAGTTCACAAGGTCCTATGAAAATTTTTATGTTTTTGTTGCAATGATAATTTTATTAGTAATAAAATGGCAGGAATAGTGATAAAAACATATTCTAAATCATCTGGATGACCATTTGCCTCACAATTTCAGTGCCCCTATTTATGTTTATTATTAAGTTGGCATAAGCCAACAGAAATGTACCAGTCTGAGACCAAAGGAGATGCTATTTGAACAAAGATCACCCTAGCTGAAATTGAGCAAAGTGGTGGGAGAACTGGGTCACTACATGGTATATAGTAGTAAGTAGGACAAGATAACTGAAAATAATGTATGCTGTCATGCTCTAAAACATACTCATACAGCAGAGGACAACTAAGTTTCATAAAACAGTGTCAATTGGCTCATTATATTAAAGGTGTTTATTTGAATGATACTGGCTTTGTAGCTTTTTCATAACACGTTTTCCCTTTTAGTTTTATAGTTCTATAAACATAAGGCACAAGAAGTTTATATCTAGTTTTATGTTTTTGAAATCCTATTTAAGAAACATTTAAGATTTAAGTAAACACTGAAATCTACAGGGTTTTTCTTTTTCTCCAAAAGAAGGCTGTCCATTACACAAGTATGAAAAAGGACCATAGACAACGGTGAGCCACTGAAAAACTTTCAGCACATTGGTGTGAACCGATTACGGTGGTAGGAGATCACCTGTGCAGTCACATAGAGGAAGAACGGCCATGGGGACAGAATGGAGATAGAAAGACCTTTAAGAAGAAGACTGCCTGAGTACTGTTATTAAAAGCTCCCATTTGCTTAATCCCAGAGACCTGCTCAGGACAGAGGCCTCAGGACTGTGGAATTAAATGCTGACAGTGCAAGCAAAGTTGTGTCGGTGTTTCAGGGTAGGCCTTATCTCGCTGGAAAATTCCCCAAACTTCTCCATGATTCATCTCACGGAGGAGGGCTCTGTGATAATGCCAGAACTAAATTAGGACCAAATCCCAGGTTCTACTAGAGAGCCAAAAAAGCACACAAGAGAAATTGCTATTGACCTCATAACAAAAAACAACCAGGACCTCTGCATATAGTGCTGTAGTCCAGTTGGAGCTGAAATCTTTCTCTTTACCAAGCCATGTGTCACTGGGGCTGCACCTATCAGGGAAGGTGACTTGCTAATTTATACAAGCCTGGGTAAACTTGCTAAGGCATGACCGTGGAGAGAGCTGCATATTGTGGGGGAACACCTTTTTCTAATTGCATGAAGGTAATTTATAGGCTAGCTAAGACTTAATCCTGCTTTTCTCAGATTATGTGCCATCATTATCACTCCCCAAACCAGAATTTACAATTCCAAAAATTTAGGGAAGCATATCATTTTCTCATGAAAAGGCATAGTACCAACACACTTAAGAAACAGATAAATGTCTTCTGCTTACCTCGGGAGCCATCCAGAATGGGGTGCCAACAGATGTGTTTCTCCGTAGACGTGTACTGGTGAGTTGAGCTGAGACACCTATAAGAAAAGAGTACCATAATTCAGCAGTGAACACAGGGTTGTGCTAGATCAGAGGTTGGCAAACTTTTTCCATGAAGGGTCAGATAGTCAATAGGCTCTGAGAGCCATATGGTCTCTACCATAACTACTCAGCTCTGCCACTGGAGAGCAAAAAGCGCAGCCATGGACAACACAGAAACAAGAGTGTTGCTGTGTTTCCATAAAAATTTATTTATGGGTACATATAATTTTCACAGGTCATAAAATATTCTTTTGATTTTTTTTTCCCCCAATCATTTAAAAATGCAGAAACCACTCTTTTTTCACAGGTCACATAATAGGAAGCAGGTCAGGTTCAGCTGACACATTGTAGTTTGCCAATCACTGTGTAGGAGCATTTATTTACCACTCTTATCTAAACCACTAGACTATTTTTTTCCTAATGAACATTTCTATCCATATTACTACAAAATTGGAATCAAAAGAAAATACCAAGGGGCACCTGGGTGGTACAGTTGGTTAAGCATTTAACTCTTGGTTTTGGCTCAGGTCATGATCTCAGGGTCGTGAGATGGAGCCCTGCGTCCGGCTCCAAGCTCAGTGCGGAATCCACTTGAGATTCTCTCTCTCGGCCCCTCTGCCCCTCCCACTTATGCACTCTCTCTCTCTCTCTAATAATAAATATTTAAATAAGTCTTTAAAAAAGAAAAGAAAGAAAATATCAAGAACTAAACACAAAATGTCTTCCTATTATATTTCCAAAATATTTCAGGTGATTTCTTTCTTAAAATGGTGCTTCATTTCATGGAGGAAGAAAATCAGCACGTATTATTTATAATAGAGCATCAGTGTGTAGACATAAAAAGCTTCTAATCCCTTATCTTACCTAGAATCCCAGAAATCTGGCAAGAAAAGTGTTTGTCAAGTATAAAAAGAAGTAGCCTAAAAATATTATTATCTAGGGCTCAGTGTTGAAGATCTGAATTTTAATGTAATTCCAGTGTATTTTATCTATCTTAGTCTTCAGACAGCTCTCTTCTTTACACAACAAGTGAATAAAGTAGAAGTAAATATGTATCAGATGAGGAGTCAGAAGACTTGTTTTCCATCCCAATTATGCCTTTTCCTAATTGTATGACCTAAAGTAAACCCCCTCACTCTGAGCCTGTTTTCTTATCCTCAAGTTGGAGATAATGATACCTGGCACACCTAACACAAAGAGTTCTTCTTAAAGATCAAATAAGTAAACAAATGTGAAACAACTTAAAAATAGTAAAATATTTTACAAATATAAGGTGTTCTTTTTTACCAAGCAGAAATCTAAGGCAGCCCTTAACAGAATGACAAGCATTGCCATTAACACTATTGAGAATAAGAACTTAGAAACCTGAATCAGGCACAGATTTGCCAAGGACGCATGGGTTATTTGGTGGATCATTGCTGGACACTTACTTTCTCTTTATTAGAAATCCAAAGAGCGCTCTCTAAACTCTATTGACCATGGATAATTTGTAATTTAGCCAAATTATCTACTGTAATTTTGGTTAAAAAAAAAAAAACTTTACTTTTCTGATTTAATTTCTAGAAATTTCTTTTGCAGCAACTGGATGTTTAGGAACCTTCTACTGGCAAGATTAGGAGACTTACTCCAAATCACAAAGCCAGTGAGTAGATAAATCAGCATTAATCCCCATCCTCATCCTTCTAGGCTCTTTCCCTCACAATACATTGACTGCCCTTGGGACCATGTGTAAAATACAGATCTGATGTTATCCACAGCATATTCATAGGGTTACGCCATTCCTTATATAGAAGGAGGAGTGTAAGAGGTGCCTGGGTGGCTCAGCGGACTAAACCTCTGCCTTCAGCTCAGGTCATGATCTCAGGGTCCTGGGATCAAGCCCTGCATCTAGCTCTCTGCTCAGCAGGAAACCTGCTTCCCCCTCTCTCTCTGCCTGCCTCTCTGCCTACTTGTGATCTCTCTCTCTGCCAAATAAATAAATAAAATCTTTTTAAAAAGAAGGAGGAGGAGCATAAGACTTGAACAAAGTATCCCTCTGCTATTTTTCTTTGCTTACTCTTAAATAAACCAGTACTCAAAGTAACTTCATTTATTTTTGAGTAATTTCTTCTGAGCAAATCATTCACTAATACATTTTAACACTGAATTCTTTCTTAACAACAAAACAATGAATATTCAAAATCATCAATCTTTTCTCCTACCATGTTAATGTTTATAAAGAACATTTTAAAAAGTGCTTCTGTAAATATTTTCTCATTATTTGTAACAATCATACTGAAGTACTAACTGGTGTTGAACACATTTAGAAGATTAAAGCATTCAATATGCTTAAAAAGGAAAACCAAATGGTTTGTTGGTTTGTGACTATCAATACATGAATGAATATTGCAAGAAGATATTTGATAGGTCTCTGGCCTTACGTGATATTGCTCTGCATTTCCTCTCACACTTCCATTTCTTATTAATGTTTCCAGTTCAACCAGCCTCACATGTAGCAGCAATAATCACAATTTAAAGGGATGTTAGCTGCCAGACCCAAAGGACTATTTTACCTTCTGCTCACTGGGAATAAGTATGCCTGAGGCTAGAAAAAGTCATTTGAAAGACCAAACTGCTTTCTCTTTTCATATGCAAAAGAAGAAATGACGAAATGTAAATTATAGACAACAGCCCTGGGACGAGAAATTCTTCCCAGAAAACCAAGTTTTTCCATCAAATTCTTCTTTTGAAACACTTTTATTTTCTATCTTTAATAAAATTGCTTCTAAAGCTGAAAATAGATGAACAAACAGCATCTCCTAGGGTGATCCATCTGGTAAAACCCACATTCTCCAGTCTGTGTCTGACTGGAAAAGTCCCTCAGCCTATGGGATAGCAGAGAGGCCCCAGTCTTCTGAGACTGCAATAAATTGTTGCCTTGGGCTAAACTGCACACATCAAGAAAACAAACGACAAGCAGTCATTACCAAAGTCAACGAGCTTAACTCCTCCTTCTGTTGTCAGAAGAATGTTATTCCCCTTGACATCACGGTGGATGATTCGGTTATTGTGCAAATGCTGAAGGCCCTACGTGGTGTCCCACCACCACAAAACAACAGGAAAGACAAAGGGGAAATGTGAATGGTTATTTTAAAACAATTACCCTGCCTTTAAAAATCCAATCAATGCCCACATTTGGCTGCACCACCTTGCTGTTCTACACCTTGCATATCATAGGGCCATTTCCACTTGTTAATACACGATAGTGATCCAACTGATCACAAATTGCCCCCTCAGATGTGATCCCCAGTCTGATGGATGGTCTTACCAAGAGGGCCCCATATAAGATGTATGAGATCATTGCTTCATCCAATCGCTGGCCACGCCTGAGCAGACCTTTGACCAGCTCGGTGACTGAGCCCCCAGTACACAACTGCAGGAGGAGGTGCCAAGGAGAGAGAAACAGCGGGAGAACACATACAAAAGAAAAAGAAAAAGATGTTAAGAAGAAAAGCCGATTATTGACCTGACATTGTAAATTTACAGATCACAAAACTCCAGGTCAGAATAGTTAAAATTCAAATGCACATTATGCAATCAAACCTAAGGTATGTGTGTATATTTATTCAGAGTGATGATTTAAAAGTGAAAGTACCTGTCCAAAAAGTTGATTGTCAAGTGAAATATAAAAGCACAAATTACTTAGACATTTGAAAGAGAAAGCGCATGAGTAATCATGGTGAGTTACTGGATATTTTTCATTTTACATGAATATTGTCTATTTAAACACACGCACACACGCGCGTGCGCGCGCACACACACACACACGCATTTTAAGGATAAGAGAAGACCAAAAGAGGCAAAGATGGATGCCATTGACACTTGGGAGGAAATAAATTTCATTTCAACCCTTCCTGTCTCCAGGGCCAGCACTACAGGCGCCAGAAGCCCTGCATGTCAAATTTATGGGGTGCAGTTGCCTCATCTGTGCGTTTACTCTTCTTATATCCAACCATGAGCATTCAGCAACTTTATGCTCTTCTTTTCTGTAATGAAAAACACTGCAAAAGTGTATCTTGCATATTTGCTCTATATTGTTATACATTATATATTGTTACATATTATATATTGTTATATATTATATGTTACAGAGATTTGAGAGTATATGAACCAGGCAAACTATACCTTAGTGGAAACTTGAGTGTTTTCAAGGATAATTTTTACTAACTGTAGAAGTCAATATGCAGGTTTGGACTTGCTACATGCTGTCTTAAAGGTTCTTAATTGGTCTGAGCAGGACATTTAAAAACCTAAAATTGTAGCCAGCATGTTATATATGCATCTTATATTTTTTTCTGAGAAAATTCAGAGCTTTCTTCAGATTCTCAGAGCCATTCTTTCTCTTATGAGGTTAAGACCCCACTCTAGACCTAGGTTTCCTCCTGGCAATTTGTCAGCAATTTGGGAAAGAGTTAACTAGTGACGTGGCAGGCCCCCTGGGATGTGGCTGCTTGAATTAACTGGCCTTTCATAAACAAGGAAATATGAGGGAAGGAACACAGATTAGCACCTTTCCTAAAAGAAGACAACTCTTTGTCAAAGTAATACATCTATTTCACTCTAATTATGACTATTTGTAATGTTTTACCAAAGGGTGAGTTGATGTTTTTATTTGATGTGTATTATTCCCTGTTACATACACAGCAGACACCTTGCATGCACATTAACAATCAAAATAACCTGGAACTGAGTCTGCCCATTTTTTACCATTTAAGTCGCTCAAAAGTAATAATATGTGACTAAAAATCCAATACAGAATTAGTTAAAACTATGATAAAATTACTATCAAGAATGATTTAGGAGGGACCCTAAAAGCGGTGAAATTCATTGAAGGCCATGATGGTCCCATTAGTTTGCAGTTATAAGGTCCTTTGAATCTATTCTCTATCAATGTCAGTTATAACTTGTAATTCAACACCCGTCACTCTGAAGGCCCTAATGCTGTGAGTCCCAGGATCCTGTCTTCCAAAAGATTCCACATTCTTTTGATTATAACTATGTTTTGCATGACCCTGAAAGGGCAAATAACATTCAATACTCAATCTAATATCCTCTTGGGCCATGAATGCATTTTCAGTGCCATGATCTATATTAAAAGCTAAGCTTTCAACAGACCAAAATAATTCTCCAGAAATCTCCGAACTAGATTCTATATTTCAAGGAACAAATACTGGAGAAGTGACAAGTCAAATGATGATCATGACATGACAGAAGGTAAGTTCTCAAGAAAAAGAAAAACCCTTCTGGAGCTGGTGGTATAGAGCCTGGAGAGCTTGAGAGAACAAGATTGGAGTGACAGTGCTCCCTCTTGAGGGGTTCTAAATAAGGACACAGTTCTCACAGAAACTTCAATTTCCTAGGACCCTCTTTTCTCTTGTAAATTTGAGGGGAGACCTCCTCATAGGAGCCTCATGCCAATGAAGAGGTGTCCGTGTTGAATGGAAATGGTAGTAGGGCAGGGTGAGGCTGACCAAGGCTGGGATTTTAACAGTTCCCTATAGCTCATTCATGACTTACAGAAGATTCAGAACTTTATCGTCCATTTGAGGACAGGGACAGGACTAGAGTTTGAATGACAAGGACAAAGAGAGTGAGGACCTCATGATAAAAAGGAGTATCAGGGACCAAGGACATGGGCAGACACCAAAGCCAGATAGTACAGGGACTTAGGTTCACACACAATTCAAGGCCCCTGTCCTCACTGCTATAGCTTTACATTAGCATCTGTTGTACACAAATCCAGATGCCATCCAGGACGAAGGGAAGAGGAAGAGGAAAGAAAAGTTTCTACAAATACTGACTCTTTACCCCCATGACTTAGCTTTGACCTGGACTGTGAAAATGGGATATAAATAGTAGAATTTGCCCCTTTCCAAAGCAGTCACTCAGTTGGACTAAGTTTAACAGAATAAATTAAGATCGGTTGTCTCCTCTAGGTGGGCTAGGTGCTCAAGAACAAAGTTGAGTTCAGTTATTGAAAAGAAAGTTACCACTTTGTTCTCAATAGTTTGTGACGGTCCAGTTTATAACCCATTACTCAATACAACACAGTCCTTGACCTCAAAAAGCTCACCACCAGTAATAGACACATGAGTAATGAGGGCATGGCATAAGGAAGTAGAGGTATGCCTAAGGGAATGAGGTGGCACCAAGAGGGAATGGTGGCCTCCACTGAGACAGGGTGAAGAGAAGACAGTTTGTGAAATCTTCTTAGAGGATGCAACATTTACAATGAATTTAAAGGACAAATGAATTTAATGGATAAGAAGGGGAAGGGCATCTATGAATTCTAAATAATCAGCAACTCTTGGACAAAGAGTACCAGATTCCTAGGGCAGGGAGATGGGGAAGGAAGGTGGGGAACACAAAATGACAAGTATGCCCTGCTAATGAGTACAGGCTTTATTACTGCACACACATCTATTATAACACCATAATATATCATAAGGTAGGAAGGGTAAACAAATCAGCAGGTTTTAGGCAAGAGGTCTCTATTCAGATTTATAGTCTAGAAAGACCTGGGCAGCAGACTGGAGAGTGGACAGAACAGGAAGATAACAGAAGCTGACACCTGCTAGGAGGTATTGAAGCAATCAAAAAAGGGAGGGTCAAAAAGTCAAGAGTCATGAAGATGAAGATTCAGGGACAGATAAAGGAGGCTTCTATAAGATAGATAGCAGTGAAGGAGAGAGAAGGAGAGAGAGCCTAGGGATCTTGTGAAGGAGAGAGAGCCTAGGGATCTTGTGAGAGTAAGGGAAAAATCAATAAAGTTCTTTGCTCCTCCAAAGCCAAAGTGATAAGGGAGCAGAAGGCAGGCTGAGAGCAAAGCACAAGCCAACACCCCACACCCCCACCCCTGTGGTAGATATGTGACATTCCTCAGGCACTCCTGGCTGCCCTAGAGCAAAGGAAAGAGAAAAACAAATGGTTAACTGATAGAGATCCTGGTCAAGCAGGATGGGAGTCTCGATCAGTTTGCAACTGTCTTGATGATTTACAAGGAAAAAAGCAATCTCCAGAACCTACAGACTCAATATCCTGGGGCCCTAACATTACCCTCCCCTTCATAGAGTAGAAAATCTTATATAATCAGTCACACCTCACAACCCCAGTGCAGCTCTTTTCTGCCCAAGGGTCCTGTCTCTGTGCTTTAATAAAACACCACCTTTTTGCACCAAAAACATCTCAAGAATTCTTTTCTTGGCCATTGGCTCTGAACCCTACCACTTCAAACCACATCAAAACAGTAATAGGAATGCAAGGCACTATAACACCTTCAAACAGAACCTCTCCTGAGCCTGACTCTGGAAAGCACATGCTTTGTTGAACTCCAAGTGCACTATTAAAATTCTACCAAGAGAAAATTTAAATTAAATGCTGGGTGATGATCCAAGCTAACTCAACCCTGGAATTTTCCCCCAAAACGTCATTTTAGTTTCCCATGCCCTACTTTAACTGTAGCCACTTTTGCAACAAACAGTCTATTCAGCGATATTTTATATAGGTAGCCAACTTACAAACTTTCTTCATAGCCCTAGAACCTATGAAGAGATTAAGAGCAGCCATTTCTGTAGCAGGATCAAAACAGAGCTGTGGATTTAAAAACAACAAAAGGATCCTACTTGGTAGGTGCCTTTTGTTCACTAAATGTCAGAATTTAAGAGCTGTGTCACTTCCTGTGAGTCACAGAAACATAAAATTAAACTGCTCACAGTCCCTTTAGGGAAGCTATCCTGTGAAATTGAAAAGCCCCCCAGTATAATTTTAAAGGGCAGCCTGTGGGTTACAGAAAAAGGACCTTGGGTCCTCTGTACAAAAAAGGAAAGCAGGGACACACTGACAATTATCTTCCCAGTGTAAATGTTCAGTGAGATGAAATGAACACTTTAAAAGCATGACAAGAAATTACATTTAAATGCATCAAATGAACAGTCCCCTTCGAATTCTAAGGAGGCAACCAAGCCTCCTGCCCCACCCCTGAAGGTTGGCGCCTGCCGCCCTTCCTTCCCACACATTCTGCCTGCCATCAGAGTCAAAAACAGAGGTGTGTCTCCATCCCCGTTTACTTCCCTACGGCCTAAGCATTCAGGAAATGTGGCAGCTGGATGCATCTAGAATTTAATGAGCATTTTGCTCCAAACCAAGAAAAATAGAAAAATCATTTATGTACCACATCTATTTTCTAAAACAGCGTTGAATATTGATTCAATCACAGTATGTGCATTTGCTAAGATGGCCATAATTTCAAGCAATAAAATGTTCCTTGCTCAATAAGCCATCAACTTTCCTCCATGTTATTTAAGAATGGCCCATGCAATACAATCACCAGAACTTTACTCTAGTCAAAGCTCCAACTTCCAAGTAGATTCTGTA